TGAAATTGTTACTGCTGCCAAATAATACCTGGAGACTGGAGTATACAATGTAAATTGATATTTTGGAATTACGAGGGCGTACGTAACGTAACCGTAATTAATTCACTCTCGCGCAGATAGTAGTTAAGGCATGACTAATCAAAATTTATTTATACCGCCGGGGCCCGGGGAATTACACATTTATTAATCTTCTAGTCCAGCCTACTACGACTATGCCTGGCAACTAGCAGTAAATTCGTCTGATGTAAGGAGATACAGTAGCGGCATTTACGCCAAATAAAGAAACAAAGAGGACTTGTGCTGGGAGCACAGTGAAAAGGCCATCCATGCATGATGCATCTCCATGGCCGTCTATTCTCTCTCTCTCTCACACACTGCAGTCGCAGCAGATCGAGGAGAGTGGAGCGGAGGGCTCCAATCCAATCCAAACCCAAATCCGTGTCCAGAATTGCAGCTAGAGCTCGTTGCAGTTGCAGGAGCACAGGAGGGGGATAAGTGCGTGCCCCCTCGTCGCAGACAGAGAGTAGTGAGAGACTGGAGATGCTAACAGAGAGGCCACTATTCCAAGTGGACCGGCCATGCTACTACATCTTTCCATGCTACTACATGCGTGCAGTTCTTGGTGGTTACAGAATATGGTCACTGCATTGCATTGCTTACCGTGCGTGGTACTGCTACATGTGTGTGTAGGTGGTGGTGATGAAGGTGGCCATCCACTGCCAGGGCTGCGCAGGCAAAGTCAGGAAGCACATCTCCAAGATGGAAGGTACGTGTACGATCCTCGTCGTATGTATGTATGTATGTATATGTTCTCTTGGCACATATACATACTGCACGTACGTATATATTTCCAATAAGCCACTTGTACAAGTTTTCATCGCTCGACTCGACGGGCTGCATCTGCATGCATGCATGCATGAATGTACTGCTGCATGTTCAAACTAGCTAGCTAGCTTCAAATAAAGTGGGACCACGGTAGAGCTGAGAAAGGCGGTTGGCCGTTTGCGCCAAACGCCCGATCGTCGGATTCTCCGTCACGGGCCGGGGGCAGAGCGAGGGAGACGACACGCCTACTCGGCATTTGACGCGGTCCACCGTGTAGACCGGCCGGCGGCCACGACGGCCCACCAGTACGTACATGTGGTCGAGTGCTGACGCCTCCTGCGTGGGTACGGTGGGAGCTAGCTAGTAGTAGCTACAGAGACGTCCATTCGTCACATGCATGCATATCATATGCGCCTATGCACACGCCGTACGTAGCGAGACCGGATCCAAGAAACGCATCGTCATTTCACTACTCAACAAAACCCAGCTGCTGCATGAGGGCATATAGTTGAACACCGCCACTACTACAGAGGCTTATAAATTAATGGTCAACACATAAGGTAGCTGACTACCAGTAGCCGTGGATGACGACGTCGACGGCCCCCTGATCATGTAAGTGCAGAAATACAAGTGATGATGATGATCGGGTCGCCTAATGCATGAGGACAGCAGGCTATTAGTAGGTCTTGTTGGTAACAACCCCCCCAATCCGTAGATTTGGAGTAGGACATTGTACGTACCCAAGTGCCCAGGAACGGATATATCATCAGTACGTACTGTTGGCAGCTAGCTTGATCAACAAGCTGATTGCCACATGATGAATGGACCACCTTTTCCGTAGCAGATTCAGATCCATCCATCCATCATGGGACAGCAGCATACTATTAGGCCTTGTTTGGATGCACATGTATTCGTCTCAATTCATATGTATTGAAGTAGATTGGAGTGAAAAATAAATTAAATTCTATTCTAATCCACTCCAATATATGTGGATTGAAATAGATACATGTGCATCCAACGTACACAAGGCCTTAAGCAAACACGAGTACTAGAGGCCCCTGCCCATAGGCGTATGTGTCCAGTCCGGACTTCGAAGCGTAGCGTATAGTGACGACGCGCGTACGGTACGTACGTAGACAGGCACCGTTCACGTGCTTGTACTGCACGTACAGGTACGCCTTCCCACTCAGACTCTGCATGCAACACTTGACTCAGACTGTGCGAGAGAGAGAGAGAGGGGTCGTCGTCGTGTCGTGTGTTCATGGATGCATTCATTAACCCTTTTACTGACGGCGCATGGAGTAGCGAACGAATAGTGTTTTTTTTTCTCACAACAAATAAACGAATAATATTTTTAGTCATGACTTTTCAACAAAGCGAACAGGGCTATAATAATGATGACGGTGGTGACTACTATACGTGCTGCAGGGGTGACGTCGTTCAGCATCGACCTAGAGAGCAAGAAGGTGACGGTGATGGGCCACGTGTCGCCGGCGGGCGTCCTCGAGAGCATCTCCAAGGTCAAGAAGGCCGAGCTCCTCGCCTGATCATCGATCCACTACTCCGCCTCGCTCGCCACCGTCTCTTGTAATTGGTCGATCTCCGATCCGTCCATCAACCAGATCCGATCCAAACCCCAGTGAAGAATGAAGAACCTGCTGCTATAACTCTGCTTGCATTGCCTGCTAGCTGTATCGTCGTATGGTTAAAGTCTTAAAGAGAGTATGTCATGGCATGGTCTACTAATCAATGGATGAAAGCCTTGTTAGTTGCTTGGTCGTGCAGTGATGCAGGCAGGCACAGGCACAGGCATGCATGTGCGTGGTGAACCTCCTCTTGCTACTGCTGCTGCTGGTGCTGGATGTACCTAGGGTCGTCGGTCCGTGTGTGCGTGATGCTGCTTACTCCGTTCGTTTATTCCAGCACTATTGCTTACATATATATTGCCCACCAGCTTTTTTCTCCACCTCCTCTCTCTTTTCGATCAATCTGATCTGTGGATGCATGGGACATATATGGGTGGGACGACGCGGTTCCGGTGGCGAACGACTGTGGATGCATCCATGGATGATCGCTGAGTGACCCACCACCACCATGGATGAACATGAACTGATCTGATCTGATCTGATCGAGCTTGGCCGCTTTCGTTTGGAACTGTGCTTTTGGCTGCGCGTCGCTCACGCATCAGCTCGCGTGCATGTTATGTTGTGCATGCAAGCCTGGCCTGCTCCAAGGTTCAAACAAGGAAGCATATAAACATGCCCTGGATCGGAGTAGCTCGCTAGCTAGCTTGAACAGGAGCGAGCGAGAAGTCCTCTATCACAGTATGTCCCTCAGGGCCCTCATCCTCAGTATCAATCACCTCCTCCACTGTCACTGCATCTTGTTCACTCCTTAGCTTTCAGAATATCAATCAGCCCATCAATTTCACCTTCATCATTACCTAAATCTAAATTACATTCTTCTGCTATTTTGGCTAAATGATAATTGCTAACAGATTGAAGAATAGTATAAGGATTGTTAGATATACCTTGCAGATTCTTTCTGGCCTTGATCCTTGCAGCTTTCTCCAGCATCGGGGTGGTGCTTTCCCCAAGTCTTGTGCTCCTCTTTTCAGCTTGCGTTGGAACCAGTGAAGCTTGCTTAGGATGACTAGTCCTTGCCCCCTCCTTTTGGGCAGAAAAAGCACCATCTTTGTTGATTGGATCTTCAAGCATTGCTTCAGAAGTCTGAGACTGCTCACTAGTCACTAGTCACTAGCGCGGTGCCATCTCAGTGGCATGTGGGCCCGGACCAGTTCGGCTTCTTTCTTTTCCCAATCCCAAAGGTAAACATGACAAGTTATCTTTTTTCTTTCTGGATCGACATCTTCTCCTTCGCGTGTTAAGGAGGACTGGACAAGGGAGGCTTCCAAACGTCTTTGTCATCTCTACTCCTGCTACCTACTCCCTCATTCTTAAAATAACTGTCATTTTTATTTCCCGAGAAACAACTTTGACAAAATGTACATTAAAAATATTAATATTTATGGTACATAATTGATATCATTGGAAATATCTTTGAGTCTAGTTTTTAATAAATTTATTTGGAGATACAAATGTTACACATATTTTCTATAAATCGAGTCAAACTTAAAGGACAGATAATTTGTGACAGCAGGAGTACGGTACATAGATTCGGATTCGGCAAATATGGTAAGACGTGCCCGTGCATGTGAACAAGAGAGCCCGCCGGAGTGCAGCATGAGCTCCGTGGACCGTACGTGAACAATTTACCTTCACAGTGTGTAGCTAGCAATGCAAGTACGAGTACCAGACAACTAACTCGCTGACCATGCACAGCGCCATGCGTGTGTGTAATTTCATCGATCGGCACGGCACGTTCCGGAAACAATGCAAGTTCGTGTGCTCTGATCGTATGAACACTGAGGACGGGTCTGCTGTCGAGACCTGTCGTCGCGGTGACAACTATTTACCTGTCTGTTTTCACTGTTTGACGCTTTCGTGCTTTTACATGCATGCATGCCCAGCTTGGATCGGCCCCTGCTGCTACATGCAGATCGCTTCTCTTTCTCTCAGCTGGGTCAGGGGGTGGTGGTAGCCAATGCAAGTGAAAAAGACAGACGATGAAGACGCCTCCAATTCCCTTTTGGAGTATAGAACAGTTTAGCGCGAGATCCTGTGCGACTGGAGCCCCGTGACCGGCATATACGCACGTTGTGCTGCTCTCGTGCCTGTCGTCGCGCGCGGACAGCAGGACCAAGAGAGAGAGAGAGAGAGAGAGATCTCCCCCTGTTGATCGCGCGCATCATCTGATACATGGCCTCATATAGTCATATGCTGATGGGAGTTCGTACGGACCACTCCATATGGACCACTCCATATAAAATCACGACTCCATCATTGTTCTATGGCAAATTTTGCTGGCGTAAAAAAGTGTAATTGGCTGGCACACACCACAGCAGCGAGTCTTTGTCCAGTACCATTACAAATTTGTGGTTATTTGCTAGTGGACACCACGCTAAATATTTTATTCATTTCTTAGTTTTGGGGAGAGAGAATGTGAGGAAAATGATTTTGTTACCCTCGTCTTCAACCTCTAGCTATTCACTGATTTTTGCCATATCACACCACCGCTGCGGCCTCTGCAGTGAGCTGCGGCCGCGGCCTGGTGTCGCTGGCGCTTTTCCCTGCTGCGCCTTTGCTAGCCGGCCGCCCGAGCCTCCTAGGCCCTGTCCTAGCCCCTACCAAGCCGCACACGCCGGAGCCACACCTCGCCTCGCAGCCGGAGCTGCACCTCGCCTGGTCCACTGGAGCCGCACCTTGCCTTGCCGCTCAGCGCGGGGGAGATGTCACACCTGCTGCTGGTTGCCTTGCTCGTCATTGCCGCTTCTATTGACGCCGGAGTCGCGGCTCGCATAGTCGCATCTCGCCTTGAGCACGGGGCAGCAGAGCTGAGCAGGGGGCAATCTAGTCACCTTGAGTAGCTCTGCCTGTGGCCGGTTCCCGATTGGACGCCTGGCCGGTGGCTGCCGACCGCTGGCACCCGGCAGAGCGTGGATCTGGAGGGTGAGGCGCGTGGCGCGTCACGCCTGGGCGGAGGGCGGAGGAACCGAGGAAGCCAGGAAGGCAGGAGGAAGCCTGGGCGGAGGCAGGAGGGTGACGGCGCGAGCAGGGAACTGGGCGAGCGCGAGGATGCGTCGCGGCTGCGTGGGGATGGAAGAACGAAATCGCCGGCCATGGAAGACCTCGTCGGAGAAGACAAGGCGGCGGCGGTGTGTTATGGCAAAAAAATAGTGCACGGCCGGAGGTTGAAGACGAGGGCAACAAAGTCATTTTCCTCACCTTCTCTCTCCCCAAAACTAAGAAATGAATAAAATATTTAGCGCGGTGTCCACCGGAAAATAACCACGAATTTGTAATGGTACTGGGCAAAGACTCGCCGTTGCGGCGTGTGCCGGCCAATCACACTTTTTTGCGGTGTCCTCCAACAAAATTTGCCTTGTTCTATAGAGATGTCTGTCCTAACCAAGATATGGACGAATCAAATTATCAGTCGTCACTCGGAAACAACCCAAATTCATTCTGTTTTTACACACAAGAAATTTCTAAATTGGCATCCGTGAGATTTTTAAGATTTGACACCCTGACTAGCTCGGATTGACCCTAATGTTCGTCCTTGCCACACACACACACACACTTTCTATGACGACCTCACATCGATGGAGTGTGGGTTAATTAATTAAGGGAGAGGGTGAGAGTGGACTAGGGGGTGCAAGATAGGGGAGCAATAGAGATTAGGGTTTGTCGACGGTAACGGGTAATACCTAAATGCTGAACTATACGTCACATATCATATTTACCATGATTTAGTCTAACAATTGTTTAAATGTGATTGACGGCCAACAAATGGAAACAGCCTACCACTATATAGCATTTACGCAACATTCAAACAGGCTAAATGACCATTTAGGCAAGCCGGAGGAGGGCTCCAATCCTCACCAATATTAATTACATAGGAGAACGAAGACCGAACATTGAGGACCGATGGTGGAAAGGAATGGTGCAAGGAGATTTCAATTCACCAAGGGTGCAGGAGGGGGCCAATGGACCACAATGCCTCATGTTAGTGCACGGTGTCTCTGAAGAGTAGAGATGACAATATAGGTACCCGCGACATGAAACGCAATGGATTTTAACCTCATTAGGGTATGGGTGTGGGCTAATTTACTTACCCAAGGGTATCTTAATGGGCAAAAATCCTTACCCACTAGGTTCGTCGGTACAAGTATGGTTTTGCACTAATGCATAAACCCATGTGTATGTATATACTTGATATGCAACAATAATTCGAAGTCATCCCCGACCTAATATACTCCAAACCATGGTCCAACTAGCAACCTAGTGCCATATAGAAAGAGCAGTATATATCATTTTTATATTACATTTCTTCCAGATTTATTGTTCTATTATTTGTTCATATAGTTATAGTTTAATGCATGCGTTACATTTTTCTAGGTGCTACTATAGAGAACCTGTGGGTGCTCACTACCCACATAGGTACGGATATGGACATAAAATTGCATTCTCACATGGTTTCTTCGTGGATACAGAAAGCTATGATGGTATTGGTACAGGTGGATGATACCCCGTTGGGTATATAAATTCATTGTCGTTCATCCCTAAGGCTGGCGACGGTGGGATGAACAAGGAAGGAGAAATAAGAAACATATATCCATATACTGAAATAATAGACTCAGGTTCTTTTAGGAGACTCCAAAGATTTTTCTTATATACTATACCGCCAGTGCTAGCGCCCAGACGTCCGGACAGACGCCCGCGCTGCACTTCGTTTCCCGTGCTTAGGTTAGCACGCCCCCGCCCAAGCCTGTATTTCGCCCGCCCACGTGAGGCCCGCGCTGCCAGACCACGTGCAAGGACCGCTCGCGCCCTCTCCCCTTCTCACGCGCATTGTAACATATGCAATACCCGATCTACTTTTGAGTAACATCCGGATGAAATACTTGCAACATACGTCCGAAACAGAT